TATATATATATATATATATATATATATATATATATATATATATATCACCAGCATTGTGCTGTAGGTCGGTACTGAACGTGTGTCTACTGAATTAGAGTTGATTGTGTTGTGAGCTTCAGATGAGAACGTGCCGGTAGAGAGTGTGTCGGTAGAGTACGTCAGTTTAGCGATTGCCTGTCGATTGTATGTCGGTTGACCGCTTAACGATTGATTGCAGTTGGTTGAGCACGTGTAGGTTGACATGGTGTTGAGCCGGTTGAGCGCATGCCGGTTGAGCGCGTGTCAGTTGAGTGCATGTCGGTTGAGCAGGTGTCGGTTGAGCGCGTTTCGGTTGAGCGCGTGTCTGTTGAGCGCGTGTCGGTTGAGGGCGGCGCGTGGGCGGCGCAGGGCGAGACGCTGCTGGTGCACGCGGCGCGCGCCGAGCGCTGGGGCGTGGTGCGTTCGCTGCTGGAGCGCGGCGCGTCGCCGCTCAAGTGCGACCGCGTTGGCGAGAGCGCGCTGGCGCTGGCGGCGCGCGCGGGCCAGGCCGACACCGTGCGCTCGCTGCTGCGCCACGGCGCCGCCGCAGACCCCGACATGGTCAAGACGGCGCTCAAGGTGAATGCGCACGCGCACCCCCTCATCTGCACCCCCTTTTGATCTCCTCTGCCATCTCAATCCATCTCCTTTGTCAGCATTACTTCTAATCCTGTTTTCCCTGCCTTTACTTCATATTACATCATATCGTTCCATCAGTCTTCATTTCTTCTCCTCTCACCTACCTGCATCTTATTTCCTCTCTTCTGCCTTCATCATCTTCTCGGCTTCCATCTCATCTCGTCACCTAAGCATTCATCCCTTGCATTTCATCTTAACTCCTCTCACTTCTCTGGGTCTTCGTATCATCTCTTTTTCGTTACCTCCACTTCCCCTAATCTCTTCTGCTTCCGTCTCATCCCCTCTGTCATCATCTCTTCTCCTGTCCCTTCACCTTATTCCCACTCCTCTGCATTCATCACATCTCTCAATCGTTACTACCAATTCCCGTCGTCAAATCTGCTTCCCCTTCATCCCCTCTGTCTTCATCCCGTTTCCTCTGCCTTCATCTCATTTCATCTATTGTTCCTCCATCTCATTTCATATCCTCTGCCTCCATCGCAGTTCATCTCATCTGCCTCCATCTCAATTCATTTTCCCTAGCTCGATCTTATTTCAACTCCTCTTCCTCCTCAATTCATTTCTGCCACTATCCCATCTCTTCTTTGTTAACTACAATTTCCCTCATCAAATCCACTTTCACCTCATCCCGTCTATCTTCACCCTGTCTCCTCAGTCTCTATCTCATTTCACCTATTGTTTCTCCATCTCATTCCATTTGCACTGCCTCCATCTCAGTTCATCTCCTCTGCCTCCATCTCAGTTCATCTCCTCTGCCTCCATCTCATTTCATCTCCTCTGCCTTCATCTCATCGCTTCTTCCTTTCCTTCATTCCTTTCGTCTCCGCCTCCCCTCCCGTGCGCAGTGCGCCAAGAGCGCGGCGGTGGTGTGGGCGTTCGTGGACGCGGTGCCGGAGGCGGTGCGCGGCGACGCCGGCCGCTGGGGGCTGCTGCGCGCCGCCGAGCACGGCCGCCACGAGCCCCTGGCGGCGCTGCTCGAGGCCGGCGTGCCCGCCGACGCGCGCGACGACGTGGACCACACGGCGCTGCTGGTGGCCGCCGCCAACGGCCACCTGCCCTGCGTGTGCGAGCTACTGCGCCGCGCGCCCGACGTCCACGCCAAGAACAAGGTAAACGTGCTACTCCATGGCTTGGAGGGAGGTCGAAGATGATCACATTTTGCCAATGAACGTGCGGTGCGACATTTCGTAATGGGCGTCATGGGCAAACTCAACTTGCACACCAAAAAAAAAGCCCTCTCTGTACAGGCTGTCTCTCAAGAAATGTTACGTGTTAAGATTTATTGAAAGGTCGCAAATCTTGGCATTTTTCCAATACATGTACGTGGGAAGACTCATTTAGGGTATTCTAGAACCGACGTCCACGCCAAGAACAAGGTAAACGTGCTATTCCATGGCTTGGAGGGAGGTCGAAGATGATCAGAGTTTGCCAATAAACGTGCGGTGCGACATTTTGTAATGGGTGTCGCAAACTCAACCTGCGCACCAAGAAAAAGATATCTCTCTGTACAGGATGTCTCACAAGAAACGTTACATGTTGTCTTTGAAGAAATGTTGCATTTCCAGGCATGGAGGGAGGTCGATGTTACGAATCTAAAGAAGTGATGTCCCGCAACAGTTTTTGCACTCGTAGATGCTCGCAATCGCTAGTGTTGCCAAAAAATTCAGGACTGATCCTTGGTGAAGATAAAAGGTTTTCTGTTGTTTTTTATTTCTTGTAATACAATTAACTGTACTTGTATTCGAAGAAGTACAGTAATTCATGCGCGACACCCTAGGGCTGGCCGGGACTCGTGTAAAAATTAAAAGGTGATTTAAAAAGTACCAGATGTCGCATTTGATGACACAAGGTAGAGCCAAAAAAGTATGATGGAGATCGCAAAAGATAAAAAAGTTGCAAATTGTAATTCTCTCCGGTCTGAGGTATGCTACGCTGCACGCACTTTGACTGTATTTATTCTCATTACGACAGCCTATTGGTTCAAACCGGAAGCTATGAAATCTAAGAACAATAATAGAGAGGTACTGAGGACAACCATGGCCTCAAAACTTTCTACGAAGCTCTATCAACGGAAAGAATCACTCAGCCATTTGAGAAATAGACCTCGTGTTCCGCAGGGGGAATAACAAAGACACACAAAAAAGATGTCTGACCCGAAGACTTGACACATGTTTCTCTATGTATGTCGACGCGTTGAATACGAATCTAAAGCCAGAATTACATCACCCCTTCCTGTTTTTAACTCACGGAAAAACATGAAATTGTTTTCTTTTGTTTTCAGGGGTTGTTCTCAAACTCAAAGACTCGACACATGTTGCTCTATGTACAGTAGAGTTCCGAGTTCTCCGGCTCTGTGACGTCATGCGATTACGCTGTGGCAATCAGTG